AAATCATCAAACTGCAACAGTTTTCCACCATGAAGTTAAAATTTCACTTAGAAAGCAGCTCGACGTACCTGCAACACTCTATCCGGAGTAACAGGTAAATTTCTTCCACCTGAAGCCCGCTGATGGTAGATGAGGTCTCCAGCGACAGGGAAGTCTCCACTACTGCTGACCGTAAACAGATTTACCTAAATCTTTTCATAGCAGCGTATCCAATACATACTAACACTAATTTGGACCTGTAGATCTCGTGGAAGTGATCTTGTGTACCTGTCGAATGGCATCGCCGCCGTTGATGTGAAAAGGTATAAAATAGTTGGTGAAAGTATAGTAATTTGTGGGACCTAGAATGCGCTAGCTTATGGTAGGCTTTGAAAACCTCAACCGGTGATCCCACATTTTTAAATAAATTGGAGATGAAAGATGACCTTAAAGATAACTTCCACGGAACGACTTGAATCTATTGCGCGAGGACTGTTTATCACTTGCAGCATCGCTTCGGAAAACTGATTTACGAATATGTCAGGATCATAAGTACTCGTCACAAAATTGATATCTACAACAATCATTGGTTAAAATTGAAAATTCATGAATATGTTGAATAAAGTATCTGTAAATTATAATGCAAATAACTATAATAGCTCAACTGAAACATTGTGCATTAAACTCACCTATATCATCGAACAAAATCAAAGAGAACTGCCTCTCACTGCTTCCCTGCTTAATTCTTTTCGTTACGGAATAAATAATTCGGTTGAGGTTTGAAGCAGCTATGCTCATGCCAGCGCTCTTTTCAATGGCAAATACTATCTATAATATGAGATTCATGATTTTCCGTTATAGGAGAGCATATTGCATAAACAATACTCAAAGAGCGGGTTGTACACCCCAACAAAAAAAATTTGGACAGCTTACTTGTCTGAATTCGTGTTGTTTCGGATCAGCTATAGCGTTGAGATTCATCTGATTACATTGGTTACCTTGGAAAAATTTATTAAAAATGCAAATTCTCAATACAAAATTGAATTTTTTGAAATATTTTTTCAGTATTCATAGTTTCGCTTTGTTAAGACAATGTACTTGATTTGTTAAAGATTTGTAAGGCTACCTAACTGCTACATCTTGAGCGCACGGATGCACAGTACATTTAAGCTAGCAATTATAAGTTCACAACGGCAGCTGTGGGCAAATCCACTTTATGTCGACACAAGGTACCAATGCGACATCCTTATAGATACATCATCATTGCCATAAGAAACTCTTACTACCTAACCCAGTATTAATGTCGGTGCAATTACCAAGCATGTATAGGCACGGGAGCTGCACAACTTTTCATGCGGTGGGATGCTAAGGAAAGGTCAACTCTAAAGCGTACATCTGAATCAGTACCTCCGCTGCAGTTCACCAGCTGCGGCAGTTGCCCTTAATCAAGCAGGAGAGTTTTAAAGGAAATTTCAGAAAATTTCTTTCATATCACCATGTCTAGTAAAAATTTTGAAAAAAAA